TTGATAAGATTCTTGCTGAAGGCAGGCCAGTGTGATCATATACCGAGGGTGGGGAATGAGAAATTTGATTAGGTATTGAGGGTGGAGATTCTTGCTAAACTGTAGCAGGAGTTTTGCTAAAACTGGGTGATGCAAAGATGGACACAGAAGTTCAATGGTTGGGAGCTAGTCCAGAAGACAGCTCTGAGGGGCCTGACCAAAGTTTGGTCAAGGAGAGACCACCTACATCTGTATTTGGTCACCCCCTCTGCCTCATCATCTTTTCCCTGCCACAGTTCTCTTCTTTCCACTTAACCCATACCTACTGGAAGTCCCCATTCTCTGCATCAATTCCATCTGCAGGCAAAAGGAATCTCAAGGATGGCAAATAGATTTCAGCTTTGCCCACTCTGCTTGATTGGCAGCGGCTTCCAGGAGCTCTGGGTGAACAGAGTCTGGGTCTGGCTCTGCAGGACAGAATGCCGTGGGACAGGAAAAGGGACTGCAGCCAGCATGCCCTGGGTCAGGGACAGGATTCATGAAGCCTAAGATTTGTACAGTTTGTAAAAATATATGACCATGTGTTAGATTGCCAGAGTGTTGGAAGTGGACTGTGTGAAGTAGGGGTCCTAAAGCTTAACTTCCTGGTAAATCTGCCACTGATGGAGCCATCAACATTCCGCTCTGATCCAATACTCCAGATCTCAATAGCCCATTGTTCTTGCGACTAGTCCAACTTACCAGTTTTTTCCTTTATGGCTAGTGCTTCTTGTGTCCTACTTAAGAAATCTTTGCCTAGCATGATGACATTTTTTTTTTTATTAATGTTATGATAGATTACAACCTTGTGAGATTTCAGTTGTACATTTTTGTTAGTCATGTTCATGATGACATTTTTTAATATTTTCTTTTAAAACCTAAATTGTTTGGCATTTAGGTCTATAATCGATCTGGAACTGATTTTTTGCCTGGTGTAATACAACATAGTAGATAGTAGTTAAGGTTTATTTTTTTCCCAATATGGATATCCAATTGACCACCACCCTTTTTTTTTAAAAAAAAAAAAAAAGCATCACCCTTTCTGCACTGCAGTACAGAGTCATCTTTATTTTGACTAGGTAACCTTCTATATTTCCGGATTCTATTCTGTTTCATTTGTCTATTTGACTTTCCTTATACTAATACCACACTTTTCCAATTACTAGAACTTTAAAATAAATCTTGATATTTGTTAGTATAAGTCCTCTAGTTTTGTTCTTCTTTTTCAAGATTATTTTGGTGTTCTCAATTTTTCATATTTTCCTATCAGTTTTAGAATCAGCTTATCAATTTACACACACACACACGCAATCCCTGCAGGAAATGAGATTGGAATTATCTTACATCTATAGACCAATTTGGGGGACAGTTGTCACAGTCACAATTTCAATTCATAATTCAGTTCAATTCAATTCAATTTAATATCTCACATTTCAATGAGATATCCTACCATTGGCTTAGATCTTATAAAATTTCTCTCAGTACGTTTCATAGTTTTCAGTATAGGTGTCTTGTACACCTTTTCTATTGATTCTAAGTATTTGATATGTCTTCGGTACTACTGTAAAAATTTTTATGCCTAAATATATTTTCCTTTTTTTAATGACATATACAAATACAATTGATTTTTGTACATTAACTTTTAAATATGTAACTTTGTTAAATTACTTAATGGTTCTAACAGTTTGTAGATTCTTTTTGGATTTAATTTATTTATTTTGGTGAGGAAGGGTGTCCCTGAGCTAACACCTGTTGCCAGTCTTCCTCTTTTTGCTTGAGGAAGATTGTCCCTGAGCTAACATCTGTGCCAATCTTCCTCTATTTTGTATCTGGGATGCTGCGACTGTGTGTCTTGACGAGCAGTGCGTAGGTCCGTGCCGGAGATTGGAAAGTGTGACTCTGGGCCATTGAAGCAGAATGCACGAACTAAACTGCTACTCCACCAGGCCGGCCTCCTTTCTGGATTTTATATACGCACAATCATGTCACCTACCAATAATGATGGTTGTATGTTTATCTTTACAAACCTTTCCTTTATTTATTTTCTTGTATTTTACTGGTTAGGATCTTCAGAAGAACCATCTTTTTTTCACTCCTAACTGGAGGAGGAAGGCTTTCAGTAGTCTAATTTTTATTTTTATGTTTGATGTAGGATTTCCATAGATAGTCTTTATCAAATTATAGTTCCTTTTATTCCCAGTTTGCTGATGTTTTTATCCCAAACAAGCTTTGGATTTTCACCAAATGCTTTTTCCATGTTTATCAAGATGATCATAATTTTTTTGTTTCAATCTGTTAATATTATGAATTACATGGATTAATTTTAAAATGGTAAAAAACCCTGGCATTCCTGGAATAAACTATACTTGTTTGTGATATAATACCTTTTTATATATCACTGGGTTCTGCTTGCTAATATTTTGTTTAGGATTTTTGGGTCTATGTTCATGAGAGTAAGTAGTTTGTAAGTCCTTTCAGGTTTTAGAATGAAGGTTAAGCTAGCTTCATAAAAATGTCCTTTTCTATTTTCTAGAAGAGTTGGTGCAGAATTGATGCTAATTCTTCCTTAAATATTTGGAAGAATTCACAGACAAAGACATCTGGGCTCAATTGCTTTTTATTGGAAGATTTAAAAAAATTTAATGAAGATTTTTTAGTTCTCTAAGTTTGGGTAACATGTTTTTAAAGGATTATTCCGTGTGTCAAAATTGTCAAATTTATTGTATAAAGTATTTCATAATATATTTTAAATTTTGATTTCCATTGAGTCTATAATGATGTCCCCTTTTTCATTCTTGATTTTAGTAATTTGTATTTTCACCTCTCAGTTTTCTAGAGGTTTATTTATTTTATTAATCTTTTCAAAGAACTCATTTTACTTCTGTTGATTTTCTCTATTGCATGTTTGTTTTCTATTTCATGGATTTCTGTTATTATCATTATTATTTTATTTCCCACCTTCTCATTTATTTGCAGTTGATTAGTGTGTTTTCCTAGCTTTTTGAGATAGAAGTTTAGAATATTGACTTTTAGTCTTTCTTCGTAACATATATATTAAACATGTGTTAAAAATGGCTATATATTTCTTTCCACCACTGCTTTAGTTAAATCACACAAGTTTTGATATGTTCAGAATATCACACAAGTTATCATTTAGTTAATATTTTCTAATTTTGTTGGAATTTCTTGTTTGTTCTTATTTGGAAGTATGTGGCTTACTTCCCAAGCAGTTGAGATTATCTAGTTCTTTTTATTATTAATTTTTGTCTTAATTTCATGTTAGAGAATATACTCTTCATGATTCCAATCCTTTTGGAAATTTGTTGAAGTTTCTTTATGATTAGTTTTGACATGCTCTGCACTACACTTGTAGAGAATGTATATTCTGTCATTACTGGATGTAGTGTTCTATATACGTTAATTAAGTCAAGACTTTTAATTGTGTTGTTTAGATCTCTGATATCCTTACTAGTTTTTGTCTTTTTTTTTTTTTAACTAACCAGCCACTGAGGTATTTCAAAGTTTCTCTTTTTGTTCGTCTAATTCTGCTTTACATATCTGGAAGCTGTGTTATTGAGTGCATACAGATTTAGAATCGTGATGTCTTTCTGGTAGATTGACCCTTTGATCACTGTGAAATATCTCTCTGTAACTCTAAAGTTGCCTCTTGCCGTAATGTCCACTTTGACAATTTCTCACATGTCCAGTGTACGCAAAAAAGACTGGATAATATAAAAAATATGTTAAACCTGGGTTACTCTGAGAGTTGTAATTATAAATGATTATTTTCTCCTTTTCCTTTATTTATATTTTTACTATTTTTTACAGTGAGCAAGTATAACTTTTATAATGATGAAAAACATGGAAGTTACTTTAGAAAAACATAAGAGCAGACAGTAGCTTCAAGTTCTTACTGTACATAAGCTGGCAGTTGAGGAGCTGTTCAGGCAAGAGCACGTACAGCAGGACTTCCTTGGTTTGAATCTCAGCAATT